GAGCTGTGCCCCCCAGGAGGAGCTCAGAGTAGAACCGCTGCTCCTCCACATCGAGAGGAGCCAGCTGAGGTGTTTTGGGCATCTATTTCGGATGCCTCCTGGGCGCCTTCCTAGGGAGGTGTTCCGGGCATGTCCCACCGGGAGGAGGCCCCGGGGAAGACCCAGGACACGCTGGAGGGACTATGTCTCTCGGCTGGCCTGGGAACGCCTCGGTATTCCCCCGGAGGAGCTGGAGGAAGTGTCTGGAGAAAGGGAAGTCTGGGCATCTTTACTTAGACTGCTGCCCCCGCGACCTGGTTCCGGATAAGCGGAGGACAACGAATGGATGGATGGATGGATGGACTGACTGAGACAGGTTCTCAATTTTTAATGGTAAATAAGACATTATGACATGTTTACATTCTGGAATTGTACCACTTTAAGTATTTTCTCTGGGATGATGTAAAAAAAGAGCCCGCTTTTAATGATAAAACTGACAAATAAGCAGTAAACTCACCACCAGTTTGTTCCATTCCATGAAAAGTTAAACAAATAATTGTTCAGTCTATCTTCACACTTGTTTTTGTCAGTTTCTTTGTTAGCAAAAATCTTCCCTCGATATTCAACAACGAAGGAAGAAGGTTCAATGGATTCATGGGTAAACACACCTCTCCCTAGAAAAACAAGGATAGAAGACCAAACAACATGGCTATTAAACAGACAGGGTATTTGCTAAAAACTATACAGAAACTAAACAATGACAATAAAAAAGGTTGATTTTGCTCAGCTGTACTCTTTGTAGCAATAATGTGAAGCCAGCCAAGGTTTTGACTCATGTAATTTCAAAATAAAAGTGTGTTGCTATTCAAGGTTCATTCATTAAACATTAAGAAATCAATCATCTCCCGAGTTAGCTTAAGGAGAACTCACAAATCATTGCAGCTCTTTGACAAAAGAATCTTAATTAAAAGCTCAGGTTTTAGTTTTCTCTGGAGCTTTCAGCAGTGTTTGACTGTTTTTTTTCAGCTGTGCAAACTCAGCAAACAGTATTTATACTGTATTTACAATCTTTATACACTGCTGAAGACTGTTCAGCGCATCTGAAAGCTCTGGGAAAAGCCAGTAGGAGTTTCATCATATAACACAGATACAGCAGAAGGTTTTGGCACAACTTCACCCACTGTCAAGCTGCACAGACAAGGAAAAGAACTAACTAGAAAGCCTTGTCTTTATAAAAGGCTAAATTATTTATGTAATATGGATACAACAAGACACGGTTTAGTGTAGCGAGAGCAGAAACAAAGAGAGAGGAAAAAGGGACATGATACATAGGCTAACATGAAGCTATGATGGCGCCCTCTTGTGGCTTGTTTTTTCAAACACAAACTGACATGTTTTACAGGAAACTCGCACCACTCATGGTCTATCACTAGCTAAATATAACCTAACTTCATAGAGGGTTAAATATTAGCCTCAATAACTCATTTATAATAACTAATAATAATTTTCATTACTGGCATTTGAGACAGCCAGAGTTGAACAGCATAGCTCCTCATTTCTATGTGCTTCAACTGTTCTTATTTGTGTATTGTATAATTTAACAGTTTTTAATTTGCTTTTTTGGTTTATTGTTTTGTAAAGCACTTTTTTAGCATGAGGTTTTAAAAAGCACTATATAAATAAAGGCTATGATTTGAGTCACTAACACTAAACACTTCAGAAAGGTTTTAGGCTTTGTTTTCTGAAATGTGCTTTGGCAAATAAAACAAGGCTGAGAAAAGTGAATGGTGTTGGACCTGGAGGGACTTGTATGGTTAAAGTGTTACCAGATATTTCACTGCACTAACAGCAGTGTTTTAATAGCTTCACATAAACGGGCTAGCTGGATCGTACTCCACCTGCCAACTGTCAGAACCTCCACAGACCCCAGAACGTAAATAGAAAGGCTGCTACTAGTGTTGATTTACCAACCTTTGAAGGGGTCAATGAACCTTTCCACCAGGAAAGGCTTGTCTCTACGAGCCTTTACATGCTCCAGGGCATCTTGTTCAGGAGTGGGCTGCCTGCCTTGTTGCTCTACATCATCTGGAAAATTACAAATATTACAAACATTGTTTTCATATACAAATCCTGTGTTTGATGTTCTACTTGTGTTGAACAAGTAATTAATATCATCTATAAATAATTAAGTCTTTATTATTACTAACTGGAAGGGAATCTTATCAGGTAGAAGACAGTAAGTAGTAAAAACGTCAATGCTACTGGGCATCTCTGGCAAGAAAAATATATTTAAAAGAAGAAAATAATGATTAATGGGTATGGGATGGGGTTATCTTCTCAACATACTGCTCTGCTGGAAGAAAGGATTTGATTCTTCATCACTCTCCTCATCATTACTGTGTTTAGAGTTGCCCTGCTCCACATCAGGCTCCAGTTTATCTTGAATGAAAAGTAAAATATAATATGCACTAATTTGTAGTTAAAGAAGTGATTTGTGTTTCCTTAGCAAGCACATGCAGGTCATGAATTACATTGGACACATACCCTCGATCTCAATTTCATCCAGGGAGTTCCCTTTGAATCTTTCAAGAAAGCCCTTTTCCATTGCCAGAAGTAGCTTTGCAATTTTTGCAAGTTCCACAGCTGCTTCTGGTGACCGGTAATATTCCCTGTCAGCCCGGATGTCAAGGCTCAGCAGTTTAGCAAGGTGATCGAGCTCGTCGTTCTCCAAATTGAGAATCTGGAAGATTCTTGCAATGTGCTTGTGGAGATGCACTGACCTAAGATGCTCTGGGTTTTTTGCATGACACAAATTTGAAAAATCCCTGATGCAGTTCCCTCCATGGTAGAGACTTGAAGCAGAAGAGTCAGGCTTTGCAAACAAGAAAGGATTGTCTTTGTGTACGCCACATGCCGCTCTCTTGCTCACGAGCAGTGATATTGCATGGACAAGTTCAGACGTCAATAAAACAGCAACACTGTGGCCAGTCCTGTTCTGGATATTTATTCTAATGAAGTGCTTGGACAGCACTTTGGCTGTGTTGTCCCTCTCCTGGAATGACTTCAGTGTCATTTTTGAAACCTCAGGTGCACCCTTGCTTAAGACTGACACCTGTGCAAGTGTCACCCTGCAAAGTGCATTGTAGACCTGCGGGCTTTCATACTTCTTCAAGGTTCCAATGGCAGTTGCTGATGTTGTTTCTAGGCATTTGTAGAAAGCCTGCACGTCCCGTGTGAACGGAATCGTAGACGGATTGTTTACTTGTCGTCCACTCAACAAATCATAGGCTGAACAGGTGACAAGTTCGCTCCATTCTTTTGTACACAGTGTCACGAATGTCCTCATGTCCCTCACCTTCTGCTCACTGACATCAGGTCCAGCACTGACAATGCTGCAGATCCTTTTGAGTGACTGTCCTAATTTCAGAGCAAGGTTTGGTTTGTTATAGATCTGACTTTTTTCATCAAAACCAGCGAGGTCTTTGACAGCCTCAGCAACTTTGCAGAAGTTTGTGGGTTTGATAGCATCTTCAAAGCTAAATATTGACCTTTCATGCAGTGCTAACAGGAGTCTTCCCATTTCCCTCAGCTTCTGTCTGATGTAATCATGATTACGTCCCTGTTTGTTTACATGCTTCTCTGTCAGATACTGTGTCAGCTGTATTAGAAGGTTATCCTTTTGAACTACTAATGCAATCTTGTCTTGGTTCATGGCTGAAAGTATCTTCCACACGCCAGAGGGAAACTTCTGGGAGAGTGATGACTCTGCAAGAGCAATTTCATTTAAGACTCTTTTTCTGCCTTCCTGTGCTGCACAGTTTGACATAATTTTAGAACCACATCTGGCTACATGCCTCCATAACTCTTTACGTTTAAACAAGCCTTTACAATGTAGGCAGTGCACAAAAGTCTTAGCACCTTGTGTCACATCTTTTGGTCGTCTTCTCAGTTTTAACTGCCCACTGTTACTCTTGATCACCTCCTGATTATGTTTGTAATTTCCCCTGTTTCGCAAAATGTTAAGTAACTTTTTTCGCTCCTTTGACTTTTTGGGTAATGCAAAGGCTTCAGCAATATCAGGCTCTTCATCAGCATGCCTTAGAAGATGACGAGCAATTTTACTCATACCTTTCCCGCAAACATAACAATAATTTTTCCTGGTGAAAGATGGGGTTTCGGGATCTCGTATATCCCCACTGGGTATGTAATCATCATCCGAGCTATGCTCATCAGATTTTGAAGCAGCTTCGTCCTCCTGCTCGGTGCATGAAGCATCGTCTTGTGGCAGCATAAACATGTTAGTCTCTCGAGTAGAATCCGACTTCGTAAAATGTGAACCGTCTCTGATATCCGGCTGACTGCTGATGCTGGCATGGCTGTCATTGATATGACTTGCACTGCTGTCAGGCAGCTCATCTTCATGATCAGAGCAGGATTCTTCACAGCTGGAAGCTGCCAAGCCCTCAAGTTTGAAACACAAACAAAAACTTTTATGCATGCAGTACATAACTTTACATGCATGGACATAAAAACAAGCAAGAAAAACCAAAGATGGTCAACTTTTTGGTCTGCGTTTCTGGTATAGTATTAAAAGTACTACTAAAAGAATAATTTTGTAAGATTAGTTATTACCCTTTTCACTGATATTTAATTGCAAAGATATATACCACCCAGTCATTCTAATTTAAATGTTGGGTTTTTTTTTATGCAGTTTCACAACCAAAATCGAAAGTAGTAGCCAAATGACAACTGTATTGGCCTTCAAAAGAACAGAGTAGTAGACTCAAAACTCTTTATTCATTTATCTTTGCTTCGAAGACTATTGTTAATGTCTGATCATTGTTTAATTGGATTTGCTGTAATCCCACTGCTTCCACTCAAAAGGAAAAAAAAATCACAAAATCAAACATAAGGATCTCTAATAGAGTAAACCTACCTTTGAGCGCCATGGGTAAGAGGAGTTGCCATAGTTGTATGTTATCTCCTCGCCTGGAGATATTTCTTTCACTGAAAACAGGCACAAGTGTGGCTTCCCCCCATAAACAATTTTCCTCATTTCACAGTTAGGACTTGTGTGATCATCATTCACGAGCCTTCCAAGGGTCCCATCCTCTTCTGAAGCATCAATGCTGCAAGCAAAATACTCCTAATGAAACTTCAACGAGTCAACCTACAATGACTGCAGTTAATCATTAGGTCTTCTTACACAATACAGTGCCTTGCGAAAGTATTCGGCCCCCTTGAACTTTGCGACCTTTTGCCACATTTCAGGCTTCAAACATAAAGATATAAAACTGTAATTTTTTGTGAAGAATCAACAACAAGTGGGACACAATCATGAAGTGGAACGAAATTTATTGGATATTTCAAACGTTTTTAACAAATAAAAAACTGAAAAATTGGGCGTGCAAAATTATTCAACCCCCTTAAGTTAATACGTTGTAGCGCCACCTTTTGCTGCGATTACAGCTGTAAATCGCTTGGGGTATGTCTCTATCAGTTTTGCACATCGAGAGACTGAAATTTTTGCCCATGCCTCCTTGCAAAACAGCTCGAGCTCAGTGAGGTTGGATGGAGAGCATTTGTGAACAGCAGTTTTCAGTTCTTTCCACAGATTCTCGATTGGATTCAGGTCTGGACTTTGACTTGACCATTCTAACACCTGGATATGTTTATTTGTGAACCATTCCATTGTAGATTTTGCTTTATGTTTTGGATCATTGTCTTGTTGGAAGACAAATCTCCGTCCCAGTCTCAGGTCTTTTGCAGACTCCATCAGGTTTCCTTCCAGAATGGTCCTGTATTTGGCTCCATCCATCTTCCCATCAATTTGAACCATCTTCCCTGTCCCTGCTGAAGAAAAGCAGCCCCAAACCATGATGCTGCCACCACCATGTTTGACAGTGGGGATAGTGTGTTCAGGGTGATGAGCTGTGTTGCTTTTACGCCAAACATAACGTTTTGCATTGTTGCCAAAAAGTTCGATTTTGGTTTCAGCTGACCAGAGCACCTTCTTCCACATGTTTGGTGTGTCTCCCAGGTGGCTTGTGGCAAACTTTAAACAACACTTTTTATGGATATCTTTAAGAAATGGCTTTCTTCTTGCCACTCTTCCATAAAGGCCAGATTTGTGCAGTATACGACTGATTGTTGTCCTATGGACAGAGTCTCCCACCTCAGCTGTAGATCTCTGCAGTTCATCCAGAGTGATCATGGGCCTCTTGGCTGCATCTCTGATCAGTCTTCTCCTTGTATGAGCTGAAAGTTTAGAGGGACGGCCAGGTCTTGGTAGATTTGCAGTGGTCTGATACTCCTTCCATTTCAATATTATCGCTTGCACAGTGCTCCTTGGGATGTTTAAAGCTTGGGAAATCTTTTTGTATCCAAATCCGGCTTTAAACTTCTCCACAACAGTATCTCGGACCTGCCTGGTGTGTTCCTTGTTCTTCATGATGCTCTCTGCGCTTTAAACGGACCTCTGAGACTATCACAGTGCAGGTGCATTTATACGGAGACTTGATTACACACAGGTGGATTCTATTTATCATCCTTTGTCATTTAGGTCAACATTGGATCATTCAGAGATCCTCACTGAACTTCTGGAGAGAGTTTGCTGCACTGAAAGTAAAGGGGCTGAATAATTTTGCACGCCAAATTTCAGTTTTTTATTTGTTAAAAAAGTTTGAAATATCCAATAAATTTCGTTCCACTTCATGATTGTGTCCCACTTGTTGTTGATTCTTCACAAAAAAAATTACAGTTTTATATCTTTATGTTTGAAGCCTGAAATGTCGCAAAAGGTCGCAAAGTTCAAGGGGGCCAAATACTTTCGCAAGGCACTGTATGTTAATATGCTACAACCTATCAACAAGGTCTGTTAAAACTGAAAAACAAGCAGATAACTTACAACCATTTTGCTCCTATCCATGAAAACTCAAACAAGAAACCTCTCAGCCTATCACCACATTTCTTCTGGGATCTTGTGTTTTTGTGACATAGAATGTTCCCACGATATTCAACAACAAATGTGGATGGCTCAATAGTTTTGTTGGTGAACACTCCTCTCCCTAGAAAAGCAAAGATTAACATAAAAGCATCAGTCTGATGTAATGCTGGTCCAACCATTTCCACTGTCACAAAATATATATCTGATTTAAATCTTCTTGGCACTCAAATAATACATATACATCATGTCAAAAAAGGAATAAAGATATTTTAAAACTCTTTTCTTAAGGAGTAACTGACATTTTCCCCTCTGTTTGGCTTGTCTAATTGCAATGTCATACACTTTCCCAGCAGGTCTCATGTTAACACCTAAAGAACAGAAATATACCTGTTATCAATCACAAGTGATGTTCATAGAGTATATGGGTGTATAAATATAAATGGACAACAGTCTGTGAATACCAGTATTTCTCTATGATCTAGGTCATGTATATCCATGTTCAGCTTCACACTTCATAACCTGAAGCCATTTATTTCCCCACAACTTGCCCTCTAACCCAAAAGGTACTGAAGTTACCTTGAAAATCATTAAGATCTACATAACAGAAAACTGGGTTCAAAAGACTGACTACTCCAGCCTCTTCACGAATAATATCAAAAAACTAATATCACTTACCTTTGAAGTAGTCTATAAACCTTTCTTCCAGGAAGGGTTTGTCTCTACAAGCGACTATGTGGTCCAGAGCATCTTGCTCATGAGTCAGCTGCCCTCTCTGGTTTTCCATGACAGCTGTAAATTTTTCCAAGATGCTAAATTAGATTTAGGCAATATGGGATCTGCTGTGCACATTGTTCCTTGTAACTAATCATCAGACAATAGAGAGTTTTAGCCAAATGCTTCTGAAGTATTTTAGTTTCTGCAGGGTTCACTAATACCACATAGACCACAATTTAATTAAGATATAAACAAAACCCATCAGAATGATAAGGCCTAGAATTATTTGCCAATTATTAAGCACAACTGGAAAAGAACCAGAAAATGGGTGGAAAAGTTCATTCATCCATTCATTATTTATACCGCTTATCCAGACAATGGTCGCGGGGGCTGAAGCCAATCCCAGCTGACACACACACTTCTATCGGCAATTTACAGTCGCCAATCAACCTAAGCTGCATGTCTTTGGACTGGGGAGGAAGCCGGAGTACTCAGAGTGAACCCATGCAGGCACAGGAAGACTCTAGACAAAAAGGCACCGGGTTGGTTGGGGCTCGAACACACAATATACTTGCTGTGAGGTGACAGCCCTAACCACTGCTGTGAATGAGGTCACTACACTCATTTACCAATACAGCCCATAGTCCATTTTTCCATTACATGTGCTGCCACCCCTTGCATGTATAAAATTCTCCTATTGTACCTGATGATATTCTATAGAAAATTCAGATGACAAGTTTTTCTCTGTTGTACTAACAGAAATACACTTGTTTGGTGCTGAAAAAACAAGGTGATAAAAAGGGTTTTTTCAGAACTTACATTGCAAAATATTTGCACGCTATTGTAAGCAATGTCACTTGAATTGGATGTAATATTTCTTATCACCACTGAGAGCTACTGTCCATGAACAAAGGCAATCTGTGTGTACAAAAGTGACTTAATATGCTCACATGTACAGTATTGTGCAAAGGTTTTAGGCACTTAAGATGTTTAGATTTTTATCCTTCACACAACACCATCAGGAAGTCGTCTGATCAAATCTAAATTCATTCTGCATCCAATGCACCTTTAATTTACATTTTACATCAGAACGGTATATCATGTGGGCATAAACTGAAAGAAATGTGTTGAAACAAGGACCAAACAATAAAGTCAACTGCAATGCCAGCTTCACTGCAAGTCTTAATGCATTTAAATCAAATCTGACTGTATCAAACTGTTGTTTACTCTCTAACCTTATTACATACATGCCTTGCTAGCATGCTAATATTAACTGGATACCATTAGCTACTTAGTAAGTAAAGACAAAGTACGGTAGTAGCAGTTTGCTAACATTCTGTCATCTATTTCAAATTTAAATAAACGTAATAAAAGAAACATAACGTTTTCACAGAGAGCGACGTTTACCTTAGCTTCAATGTCCCAAAAGAGAAAATACTGCTACAATGAGAGTAAACACCGTGGTAGCCATCTTCCTTTTCAAGAGACCCCGTGACCATGACGTTTCATTAACTCTAGCGAGAGGCGGCCAATCACCGACTGTAGCATCAGTGATTGACTCAAGTGATTGACGAATCAAAATTTGTAAATGTCTCCACCGCGAGGAGCAGCAAACACGGATTATATAGCATATGGTTTGTAAGGACATAGAGTGATGTTCTCACAAAACTGTCCCCATATTCAGGTTAAACACAGCTGCAATTTAACAAAGTGCATTTACTCTAGTACTAAGCAGTATTAGGTATGTTCTTTAGTGTCAATTGATACTTCTACTTCTTCTAATCCATAAATGTTATTTCTTCTTCTTCTTTTGGCTGTTCCTGTTAGGGATCGCCACAGCGAATCATCTGTTCCCACCTAACTCTATCCTCGGCATCCTCTACTCTCACCCCAATTAACTTCATGTCCTCTTTTAGTACATCCATATATCTCCTCTTTGGCCTTCCTCTTGACCTCTTGCTTGGCAGCTCCATCTCCAACATCCTTCTACCAATATAACCACTATCCCTCCTCTGCACATGTCCAAACCATCTCAATCTGGCCTCTCTGACCTTGTCCCCAAAACAGCTGACCTGGGCTGTCCCTTTGATGTGCTCATTCCTAATCCTGTCCATCCTGGTCACTCCTAAAGAGAACCTCAACATCCTCATCTCTGCTACCTCCATCTCTGCCTCTTGTCTTTTCCTCACTGCTACAGTCTCTAACCCATACAGCATAGCTGGTCTCACTACTGTCTTGTCTCTATTTATCCAGGCTTGGGACTGGCACAGAAGTCACTGGCTTGCAACCCCTATGGCTAGATTATTTATGCCACATTTATTTGATGATTTTGTTATTAGCTGCTTTACAAATTGAGATTTTTTCATGCAAGCAATATAAAGAGTTGATATATAAAGTAAAATTCAAACAAGTACATCTGAAACAATTAGTTGATTAATAACAATTAATTGACAGTAATTGGCAACTAATTTATTTGGTTATTTTGGTAATTTTTGCAAAACTCTAAACATTCCTTACAAGAATTACTTGTTCTGCAGACCTACTTCTGGAGATTTGCTGCTTTTCCTTTTGCATACATACAAACACACAATTTTTGTAGTCCTGCTCAACAAATATAAATGATAAAATAATCTAATTATATAATTATACTTCTAAAACTTTTAGTAGCCTATAGTAGTAGCCTGATTATACGTACACACTTGACAATCAAACATCACATTGACACAACTATTTAGTCTCACTGAACAACATTTTTAGGTGTTTTTTATTTAAAAAGAACATACAATAGAAAATACTGAGAGAACCTTGGCCGCTCTAGAGACTGGGGGTTAATATAACCAAGATATACATTAAGGAACAGTATTTTTTTACGTCTTTACTTTAGAATACAAGGGTCATGAAAATGCAGATGAAATAGCATGCTGAAAATTAACTAATTTTAGTGTTCAGTCAACAAAAGGTCTAAAACTGAGATTTTTTTCCCCAAATGGCATGACAGTTGTCAGGCCTTTTATAAGATACAAAGCTGCATTCATAGAAAGGTTTCTTAAATGTGTTCAGATCAATTTCTAACCATTTTTCATCAAATTTAAGAGCATTTCCATAGACAAGGTAAAAGGAAATACAGGAAACAGTTTGATGCTTTCTTTTAACATATTTAAAAATATAAAATCCTCCTCATCATCATGCCTCCATCTTTCCCCAGTCACTGTAATCTCACAATTGTCACCTGACCTTTTAAAGGTAAGAGTTCCTGATGGACACAAAACACCAATATGGAAGTGTTTTTGTATAAATTCATCTTCTACATTTTACCATGGGAAAATGGAGGGGCCTGTAAAAAATTCAACTAATCTTGAGATCATTACAAAAGAAAGATCCACTGTCATTTCACAGGTCGGTTTCAATCTGCAATTTACGATTCATTTCAGGAATTATGTTATAAAGTGTGTGAGGTGGTGATTTTGTACTTCCATTAATGATTTTCCAACTAAAATCAGTGTATAACAACTGCACAAGTAGTGCATTTCCTCTTTGACTCTGGGATACTGACACTAAATCATGCCACTGATGGATTGGTGAAACTCTGTAAAAACTGTACTACAGGTGTGGACTCAGCATGATGGCTGATGATTTATATCTACATCACAGCTTGTCTTTTGGTGACGGCTTACTACTTCATCCCCTCAAGAACAAAGATCTGCCTTATAAAAAAGTCCAATTTGCACAGGAATATATGGAATCAAACACAAGGCAGGAACAAAAATCATATTATCCATGAGAATTGTTTAGCAGACAGAAGTTCAGCCATGTGTCTAAAGCTTAGCCAAGTCTTGCATCTTTGCTTCCAAGTTACACAGACACTGTGCATTTGAAGACAAACCACGCTTCTCTGTCTGGCAGAGAAGTTCAACAGTTTTACGAAGTGACTTCCTTTGCAGTTCAGCACATTGTGGTCTATGACTTATTCTGTCCATTTGTGTTTATTGAGCCATGTTTGAATGAACATTTCAGTCAATCTACAATCATTTACAACATAAACTGCTACACCAGTAAAAGATCGCGTCTGCTTTTCATCACTCTAACACCTCCTTATCGGGTATAAAAGGTGGGTCATCAGGTGCATGCTGCTCCGTTTCTCCCTCTTTCCTCTTCTTGAGGTGCAGCTCCCTGACGGTGAGGATGCGAATGAGCATGGCCTCCATGGTGCTGTCGTCCAAAGGGGTGGAGGAGAACCACAGGGGGCTGTTGGGGACGCAGCAGCGCTCAGGGTGAAGGTAGAACAGGTTGGTGCGCTGTTTGACCGACTCTGAGCTGGAGGGACAACAATTATCAGTGTGAACACAGTGACCAAGAGGCTGAGAAGATTAATGTGGAATGTTACATACTCACCACTTTGAGAGATAGAACTCGTAGAGTCTGACTGGACAGCGGAGAGGGTTCTCTGTGTTCTCCATCATCTCCAGGATATCCTCCTTATTCTCCTCCTCTTTACGCCTCTTAGCTGGAACCTCCAGATCTGATATTATAAGTAAACAGACAAATAATAGACACAGATAAAGTGATAAAATAATTATACAGACTGTGTGTGTTTCTTTAGGTCAGATCGAGATCAGTGTGAGTCCTTTATTGTACATATTATGGTTCAAATAGTGGTTCAGAAATAACAGAGTGGAAATGATACACTATATTGCCAAAAGTATTTGCTCGTCTGCCTTCACATGCAAATGAACTTGAGTAACAACCAATTCTTAATCCATAGGGTTTAATATGATGTTGGCACACCCATTGCAGGGATAACAGCTTCAGCTCTTCTGGGAAGGCTGTCCACAAGGTTTAGGAGTGGGTTAATGGGAATTTCTGACCATTCTTCCATAAGCGCATTTGTGAGGTCAGACACTGATGTTGGATAAGAAGTCCTGGATCACAGTCTCCGCTCTGATTCATCCCAAAGGTGTTGTATCAGGTTGAGGTCAGGACTCTGTGGAGGCCAGTCAAGTTCTTCCACACCAAACTCACTCATCCATGCCTTTATGGACCTTGCTTTGTGCACGGGTGCACAGTCATGTTGGAACAGGAAGGGGCCATCCCCAAACTGTTCCCACAAAGTTGGGAGCATGAAATTGTCCAAAATGTCTTGGTATGCTGAGGCTTTAAGAGTTCCTTTCACTGGGACTAAGAGGCTAAGCCCAGCTCCTGAAAAACAACCCCACATCATAATCCCCCCTCCACCAAACTTTACACTTGGCACAATGCAGTCAGACAAGTACTGTTCTCCTGGCAACCGCCAAACCCAGACTCATCCATCGGAATGCCAGACAGAGAAGCGTGATTCGTCACCCAGAGAACACGTCTTCACTGCTCTAGAGTCCAGTGGCAGCGTGCTTTACACCACTGCATCCAACGCTTTGCATTGCACTTGGTGATGTAAGGCTTGGATGCAGCTGCTCGACCATGGAACCCCATTCCATGAAGCTCTCTACACACTGTTCTTGAGCTAATCTAAAGGACACATGAAGTTTGGAGGCCTGTAGCTACTGACTCTGCAGAAAGTTGCCGACCTCTGTGCATTATGTGTCTCAGTATCCGCTGACCCCACTCTGTGATTTTACGTGGCCTACCACTTCACTTCGTGGCTGAGTTGCTGTCGTTCCCAATCACTTCCACTTTGTTATAATACCACTAACAGTTTACTGTGGAATATTTAGTAGCAAGGAAATTTCACGACTGGACTTATTGCACAGGTGGCATCCTATCACGGTACCACGCTGGAGTTTACCGAGCTCCTGAGAGCGACCCATTCTTTCACAAATGTTTGTAGAAGCGGTCTGCATGCCTATCTGCTTGACTATATACACTTGTAACCATGGAAGTGGTTGGAACACCTGAATTCAATGATTTGGATGGGTGAGTGAATACTTTTGGCAATATAGTGTATATTCCATTCCAACAAAATCCAAGGTTCTAGGTAGAATTCAATCCTTAGGATTCAGGTTTAAGAGTATATTTTAAGATCTCTGTTATTACCACATGTACCACAGTACCACATGAAACTACAATATTTCACTTAGAGCCTCAGCCATGACGGTACCTGGCTCTGCCTCATTTATGGATATGGGCGGGTAGAAGCGCAGGAAGGTGGTCTTCGTGTTGTCCGAGTTGGTTTTGGTGCAGCGCATGACGTGGGCAAAGGACAGCTGATGGTGCTGTTCCACCGTGGTGAAGCCAAAGTATTTGCAGCAGAAGAAGAGCAGAGTGTTGAGGAGGACTATGGGGGAGTACGCCCCGAGCTGTTTACAGTTCCACAGAAACTCCTCCTCCACACGGGAATGGATGTAACCTGCAGAGGAGAACAGAGCCGACAGAAATTTGGTCACATGTGGTAGGTTTTCATGAGACAGACAGTGAGACAAACTGAAATAATGACAGATTAAGAATGTCAGTGTTAACTCACCACTGGCTGTGACTGAGGGTTTGAAACCTCTCAGCATGTTGGTGAATTCAGTGGAGAACTTGTTGTAGAAGCGATCCATGAATATGTTTTCCACACGACCATTGTCAAACAGGTACTGCAGCAAAACAAAGTTTCAGTATTATAATATGATGAGAACATCTGTCATTTAGTTTGCAGTACTGTAATATATTAGATTTTAATGCTGTTGTACAGCCAGTGTATAATCACTGAAATGGTTATCAAATTTAGATTTTATCAAATGTGGGATCTATGGATAAAGCTTAGAGTTACAGGGTTATGTTGTGTTTTTAATTAGGTTCTGTTAAGGAGTGGCATTGTAAAGATCTTTCTTGTGTTCAAGTCTACATACGCTTATATAGGACATTTAGGTTCTACCTGTTATATCCTAAGAGCTTATGTTTGAAAAATGCTGCTTATCTCACTTGTTGGATGCCGAGGCAGAGGTAGAACAGGCTGTCGGGGGAGTACGGCTCTCCGTTTGGTCGCTTCACTTCAGTGATGAAGCAGCAGAGGCCATAGCTCAGCTCAGCTGTGGTGCAGCGTAGAACATCCTCCTTTAACTCCATGGGACGTGCTGAAACAGAAGATATAAGGAGTCCAAAGTAATGACAGGTTAAAACATGTCCCCAAGTTTTCTGATGGAGTCTAAGTTTAAAGGAATCAATGCAAATATACAGTTTATAATAAAATGAAAAAATTCAATTTAAGATATCAAATGACAACTGGTCAATGTTTTGTCTTTAAGTGCATTACCTAAGGATGTTAACCTGTATGTGGCTTTCATCATCCCCTACAGTTCACTGCTCACCATTGTGGCCAACTTCATTAAAATGTATTATTCTGACACCGCTTGTCTTGAATAAAATTGTAGAAATAAATATTTAGTCTACATCCAGACTTACAACCGAAGCGTGGCTTCTCCAGGTTGGGCTGAGTTTGTCTCCATTGAATCCATCGCTTCCAGGCGTCAACTCCATATTCACTCTTCAGTTTTGGGATGTCTACAGCCACAGCCTTGTTGGAAGAGCCTTTCTGAGACTTCGCTTCGGCTGCCTTAGACAACCGCTGAGACTTACGACCCTTGAATAAAATGGAGAGTACTGGGAGGGGCTGTATCATGAATATGGCTGTGCAAATCTAAGCTATTCTCTTGTTTCCAGCACATTTTAGCATTATGAAACTAAACCTGCGTCTCAGCTCTAATTAAAACCAAATCTGGTCTACTTACCGCCTTTTCTCTGGCCTTCCTGTGAGCTTGTCGCCGTCGTGAAGCAGCAGGCGGAGGACTCTGAGGTTGCTGAGACTGCTCTCTCAGCCGGGCCATCCTCTCCAGAGATTCTACCAATTGCAGCACATTAAACAGACAAACCAGAACAGTCAGACCAAAGTTTCAAAGGTAGTTGGCATCATTTAAGATAATAACTTGAAGGTTTGAAACACTGCAACCTCCAGCTAAACTCTTAAACATGGTTCTAGGTGTAAACAAAACTCAAGTGACCCCTGACTGTTGATGAGTTTTGAACTTAACATATTTGTCTCATCTTCTCACCAACAGTAAAGTCAGCCTCAACATCCATGGGAGGTGGAGCCAGAGGCGGGGGCTCGGCGCAAGGCTCACTGGGCATGCCCACAGGAACATCTATAATTGGAATGAGCTTCTCGTGGGTGAACGGTCGACTGGTTGACTTGGGGCCTGTGTCAGAGGAGGCGTCCTCCCAGTTGTTGAGGAAACTGGCCAAGTCATCCGTATCCAAGTCGTCACTATAGTTACTGACGTGGTCTGTTAAATACACATGAGAGGGGGTCTACAACCAGTGCAATGAATTTTTCTCATATTAAAACAAAGAACAAAAATATCTGTGGGAAATAATTTGATAATGACAGAATGAAAGTTCAAGAAGTGGACACATGCAGTGCAGACAAAGCACACATCCTTGCTGCTCATGTTAAAACCAAGACAGTAAGTTAGAAAGATGCGTTTACATGCAAGTTGTTTGTTTGTTTGTTTTTTACTATACTTATTTTTTTTAAATGCAGATATCTGGTTAAACCTGGATGACTAAAGCAGACTAGCTGGAATTTTTCAAACAACCGAATTAAAACATTTGTAAAAATTGTCTTAGCTTTTGTTATATTGACCAAAATACACCTTAAATTTGAACATCTGTTCATATAAATATCAAACGCAGGATTTTTGTCTTCACATCAGTTTTACTCTTTCACACACACACATAAATGTTCACAGCCTGCCAGTCTTCTGTTGATTGAGTAAGGCCATGTTATAGTAAATGACTTTTTCACCTAACAAAACAAAATAAACTGATTATTTTACATTCTTAAACTTTTATAAAGTCATATTTTACCTTCATCTTTAATCTGCAATATTTTGGGTGATGCATTAATAGGGTAAAAATAATTCTCTTACCATCTGGGGCTAGTGCTTCCTGCCTCTCCATCTCTCTCTCCACCACTCTCTCCTTTGGTCTCTCCTGTTTCTTGTTCTCCTCATCTTCCTCTGCCACCATCTCAGCCATGAGGATGAGCTCAGCCTCAAAGGGGTCAGACGGGATCTTTTCCTTGATCTGCTGGATGGTCTCTACAATGCGTTCAGCGCTGTCCATCGTCACAGGAAGGAACATGGGCACAGGCATCTGTGGTGGACAGGTCAAACGAATAGCAGCAAGTAAGCAGGGACTAAATGCTAAAGACCAACTATTCCAGTGTCTAATATACACGTTTTATTTTGAAAATCTCACTGATACAGGCAATACTTCTTTATTCCTCTTTGTATCAGTATTTCATGCAGTATGAAATAAAGTGTATGTACAATGGTGCTGCATGTTTAAGATTTTCATGACTGGCTAGTTATGTAATATGTGTTTGTCAGTGTCTGTGTTGTTACTCTGCTGGTCATTTGTTAGCTTAGTGTCTTACTGCAGTCCAGAGTCCAAAACAAATTTCGCCATGGGGTCAAATTGGTTGATAACAGCTGGACAGTTCTGTAGGTGTCTCTTAAAGCATTCACTGCTACACAATACAGCCGTGTGAAGCTCTACAACAACATGCAGCTACAAAGGCTATAATAGCGAAAAACATTTTAAAAATTAGGTCAGAGTTCAAATTTAAAATGAATTATGCAAATTATCCAGGCTCAGAGGTGGTTGTAGAGTTTGTACCGGCAGAGGTAAGCCCACTGGTGTGGGGGTACACTGGCTGTACATGTTCATGGGTACCGGAACATACACTGGCACCGGAACAGGCAGAACCATGATTTTAGGGAAGATGCCATCTACAGAGAGGAAAAAAGAGAAACAGAAAAGCGCTGGGCTCTAAACTTTGATCAAGACCAAGTTCAAGGACAACATAACACATCTTACATGACATGACAAATTTTTGTTTCCAGCGCGTTTCATGTGCACTGGGTGATCAATGCATAAAAGATCGCAAGGTTCTAGTAAGATTCACAGAAAATGATGATGAGTCTATGGACTGAGGGTGTTTCACGCTGGACAGGTTGTAAACCCTCCTGAGGCAAAATGTGACTTTTAATGACGTTGTTTCTACAGATGTCTCACGTCTGGGTGTTGCTTTTACCTGTCTGTGCCTCAGCTTCAACGGTCTGTGTTTTACAGGAGACCCCTTTATTTTGCACCAGTGGTCTGCAGAGCAAGGCCTTGTTCTTCAGGACTTTTGGTGCAGGAGAAGGATGAGGTTTCACTGTGTCTGTCTGAATACTGATCTAAAGGACAGGCATGACAAAAACTGTAAAAACTTCCCAAATTAATCATGTTCAAAAAACAAACTGAAAAATAATGAGCTTATAGAAGCCGGAGCAGAGATCCTCACAAATGGCTGAAGATGTGACCTGACAACGCTAAAGACTGTTCTCGTGTTACACATTATGAATTACTGAGAACACCTACACTTGTTTGTTCACTTGTTTTTCATTTAATCTGTTACCTGTCTGCATTTCTAAATCACTGAATTTGACTGCATATAAAATACATACAACATATGCCAACTTACATTTCCTGTGCTCTTGGATGGAAAGTTGGAGACTGTACCTGTGGAGACAAAGACAACATACTTCACAACAAACAATGACAATAAAACACTTATGTGTGTGGTTTTATTTTGTACTTTGCTGGGCAGTTTTGTCAGAAACACTGGAATTTCCTGTTGGAGAGCCTGCAAGCGAGATGACATTGGCAATGACAGGTGTGGCCTCCTCTGCATCTGGAGATGAGAGACAATAGAACATCAGGACACACAGCGGAGTCAGCTCAGTTTTCTCCACAGTCTGCTTCTCTGAAGTGTTTCAGAGATGAAAATCAATCCCATTTACATGCTTCCATTTCTGTATCCTTTGTAGAGCACACAGCCTCACAACTCAGATCCTTAAACCCACTACAGCACCGGACTGTACAACTACACTGTCATACAAAGGCAAGTGCAGCAACTACACAGTGAAACTGAGAAAAATGCATTTAAAGAATTTGGGCTGTCCAGTCAAACATGACGTAGGTAGATTAGTGAAGAAAAGTTCATGTATAAAATCCATGAGCAGATTAGTGTTAATGTCTCTCAGGAAGAAAAGTTCATGTATAAAATCCATGACAACTGATCTGACCTATGACCCCAGAAATGCAGATACTGCACTCTGCTTTTGGGTGACCTTAAACAAGTATACAAACATTGCAAAAGCAAAGTGCAATATCCACAATCTAAATTTGTTCATTCAACTTTTTGTTTTTCTGCTACCTTCTTTCGCAATAATTGGATTAGATGTATATGGCCCAGTCAAGAAACATGAACAGGATTATCAATCAGATCATCATGAAGTTGTCAGAGTGGATATTTAAAGGGAGCACATAGGCTAAAATTGCCTGTCATGTGTAATCCCTTAGTGGCTAGCCTGCTAGCTTGCTCATTGCTGGTTAACTGGTTATAACACTTGTTATTTGCCAAACTAGTCATTCATATTTTGTTGGCCGTCTTCCTTACCATTTTCTGGGTATTTGTGTGTCGGTGTGTGAGAACTGTCATCTTGCAGTGATCTGAATAAGATTACCAAGACACACCACAGTATGTGCAGAAAGCAAAGTCAGAACCCAGCGACTTCACAAAGAAACTGCAGTTACCGTGCTTTGTCTTGGTTTTTGTAGTTACTGTAAATTTGACATTATCTTCTCTGAAATGGAACATAACTGAATCAGGACAGTCACAAGATAAAACAGGTGCCACACAGTTCATTTACCGTCCTAATCCAGTTTTGACTAAAAAAAGTGTAGTTACTGTAGTTTGCCTTTGTACAGCAGTAAATACCTGATTTCTGTGAGACAACAAACCCTCCTAATCTTCTACCTATCTACATATGTACAACAATTTTGTTAGTCATAAATCAAACTTCAATCACTATGCACCTCATAAATATAATGTGTATGATGAGTCTCAAATGTTCCAGTGAGGTGCACGTTTTTTTGCTCCTAGGTTCTCAGGTGTTTGTTATTAATAGGCTCTTACTTTTTTATTTTTAATTACTGTGTGCAGTGTTCATTTGTACCTTTGCTACCTCTAGTTTTTTTTAAGTTCCATAAACATCAAACCAGTGTTATAAACCTTAATACAGAAAATTACAGCATGATACACACCTTTGAAGACCTCACCTTGTGAGGCCACCTTATCACTGCAGAACTGCAGCAGACAAGTCAGGTCACAGAAGTGTTTGACCTCCCCCAGCATGGGAAGACTCTGTTTCAGTTTCCCTTTGTGCCCACAGGTGTCACACTTGGCAACCTGAGAGAAAACAGAGAGCAAAGTTTAGCTGTGAGACCATCATAATCACATTAACTTTGATTCTAATCACTTTGTTGCAGTTTACTTACATGGCAGAAAAGCATGGTGTATTTGGACCTGCAATCCTCAGAGCAGAACTCCTCTGTTGAGCATCCGTACTGTGCTGTCACCAGCTTCTTTGAGACACAGTGGCAGTAGACGCAGGAGTGGCAGTGTTTCCCCCAGTTTTTAGTCAGGTCGTGTCTAAACAGGAGCTTACAACCTGGGTGGAGAAAAGGGAGAGGCTCTAGGTCACAATGCTTTATTATAAATGCTCACACTGCTTCAAACTTGTAAATAATTAAATGTGCTGTAATTCCGGTTGTTCCAGATGCTTTTCGATGTAGCTTTGGACAAAGCAAATTTAAAAAAAACCTAGAAGATAATGCCTTAGTCCTGACGTTACAGCTTTCCAACTCTATCCTTACCGTCGCTGCAGAAATAGCAGTCTTTGTTGTTAATTCTCTTGGCGTCTCTGGTGATCTTTTCGATCTTACAGTATTCACACAGACTTGTCACGAAGTGTGCCTTTTTGTATTCATGAGCACAGTCCGTGCTACACACAAAAACCATCTTGTCCTGCACACAAACACAGTTGGTACAAACTGTCAGAAATGTCAGTCACATGTTCAACAAGCCCTCAGGATAAAACTGACAGAAATTAAAAGCTAAACAATGGCTGTATTCTCTAGTACAGTGTGGGTATGTTAATAGGTCTTTTTTGTACACGTTACCTTGATCTGGATGAGTTCAGGTTTGAAAGTTATGTTGCGGGTACACTGGAGACAGTTCAGTTTCGGTGGTCCTACGGGAAAATCTTGCTGAGGTTGGGGAGGTGGCACCTGGATTTGGGTGGATCCTATGGGCAATTTGGTGAAAACATTCACCTGTTTCTGGGAATTCTTGAACTTTTCCTGCAGCACAGAACATATGTGAAAGGTCCATCCTCACTCAAAGATTACAGACCATTTACTTGCACAAAACAGACTGGATAAAGGCTAACATCATACCAGCACAGATTTTACTCTGCTCTCACAGATTTTTGCCAGATCGATGTGTAGACTGAGCATTTGTGTGGGTGTTTCAACACACACATAACACTGGTCAACAACCAAAATGCTCCCAAAACAAATAAAATCAGTCTTTGCTAATACCAGGCCACTGAAAAAGAACACATCTAAAATTGTTCACTGACTCTGTGTTGACTTTTGGTGCAGGCTAAACTTCTATTTTGCATCTATTTACCTGAAAAGCCATGACACATGGTAGCGTACAGAAGTTCCTGATAGAGGTATCTGACATGGCCAGGTGGTAGGCCGGCACAGTGTTTTTCCCACAGCTATCACAATTCAATCGAGCACCTGTTGAAAAGAAATAAGTGATATTAGAAAAACCAAGAGTGAAAAGTATTAAATGTCACCACTGAAAATCATCAAGGAAAACCTGGCGTCAGTACCTGATGCACTGACAGTTTGAACCTTGAATGCCATCACACAGCTGCTGCTACAGAATAAGCTCACAGAGTCGTCACTGTTTTTGTCATCAACCGTCTCTGCCAGCAGACGAGCAGTGCGACACATCGTACAGGGCTGGGTTATGTTAGTTTTCTGTAATGGAATAAGATAAAGAATGAGAGATACATCATAAGAACAGATCCCAGTTTTGCTTTAAACAGACTCTGAAGACAAGGGAAGGGATTTTTCTGTTTTGACTGAATACTTTATGCTGCTGTAGGCTGAGTCATCTGCACCAGTCTGACCTAAACAAATTCTTCATACCTCCTTGTACTTGGCCAAACACTCAGTGTTGCACAGAGTTTTGTTGCCCTCTTCCACCTTTAGCATGAGTGGTTTGGTGTGGCTAAAGGAGCCACAGTTCGCACAGCCAGCCATGGACAAGTTGTTTACGGTTCGGAAACGGTTAAAACAGGCATCACTGCAGAGTTTGTGAACAGCACCGCTCAGGATCACCTCATGCTTGCTCTGAAGAAACAGTGAGTCAGGAGGGGATCATTATGTGTTTATACACTAAGGAACAAAAAGAAGATACAATAATTTACAAATGTAAATTTAAGTTGATTAAAGATATACTGATCAAGAGGAAATGAGTTAAGTATTTTGATCATTGATTCCAGGCTCCTTAAAGATTTTCAGTTCCTTTAATCACTACTTTACGACATTTTACAAACAAACTAAAGAATTGATAATTCTACTCTGTTTGACTTACAATGCAGTATCTGGTGCACATGCTGCAGAGAGACTGTGGTGCTATTGGCTGTAGTTTTTTGGTAGCAGTGGTTTGCCTATAGTTGGAGGCATTTTTCTTGTAGTTGAAGGAAGTCAAGCAGTTCTGGCTGCAGAATTCCTTCATGGCTCCTTTACCATCTGGAGCCAGGATAACGTCCTGAGGCCGGAATATCACCCTGATATAGATGAGGGATAAAACCAGTAAGGCATTCAGATTCTGTGATAGCTCGACACTTGATACTACTTTAAACAATGAAGCTTATCTACAGGTATACAATTAATTACTCTGCTCTGTCATAAATATAAAAAGAACAAATATAGACAGATGTGGCTACAATTACAATCTTTGTGTTGATGTTCATGTCTGTAAGAGATGTGTATGTAAAAACCGCTGAGGCCTGCACAGATTTAATTGAAACATGTTGAAGTGTACATAAATACCAACAAATATGTCATATGTCACAACAGTGGCAGGACCTGACTCTCCAGACAACATCCAGAGTTAATATGAGAAAACAGCCTGAGTCACTTGTATTCTGAAGACAGCTGTTGTTAAAGTAGGAAAACAACACTGTTTTCTACTGAACTAACTTCTGGCAGTTGTAACAGATCTTAGTGACTCCTTTGACTGTGGGGAGAGATGTCGTGAGGCAGGCGGTGGAGCAGAAGAGTGCTGGGGAGCCCTTCCGCTGGAAAGCTGTCTGTCCCTTTATCAGGCTTTTCTTGCAGTGGGAACAAGACATGTGCAAAGAGGAAGGGTTGGCGATGGGCAGCGCCTGTGTTACTGGGGTCACAGAGAAGACTGAGCCGATCTTCAAGTCATCCTGTCACCAAGAGACAGAGGTCAGTGATGGTCCAGTAAGTCTGGAACCATCAAATCTTGACTGAAGGTCTGGTATGAGATTACATTATTTTCAAGAACAAGACATTCACATGTTCACAACAGCAGATGTTGTCTTTGAATTGAGTAAATACGCACTCCTATGTTAAATTACATTAAGAGTGTTGCATGATGGGTTGTTTGAAACCTTATTGTTGCTAAGTTTCCTCCCAGTCTGTTTAGAGTGTGTCTTGTTCACACAACAAACAGTCACTTATAGCAAATGTTTTCTCTAATTAAAAAAACAACATACACTTCATGAGTCTTGGGCAGATTAGATATCAACCTAAATCTAATCATTTGTATTAAAATGACACTGACCTCCAGCAAAACTTGGATCAGCAGTTTCTACCACCCACCCACCTTTGCAGTATTAGGCTCATCCTTCACACTTGCTGTAGACGTAGTGGATATTAGAGCCTGTTCGTACTCCTCATCCACAGGCTCATCCTTCACCTTGACCAAAGGTGGAGAAGGAGGTAACGTGACAGGCTGAGCTGCTGCCTTTAAACTCTCCTAGAGCACATGATGGAGATTTGGAGAACTTAGTGTCAACTTCCATGGTACCATCACAATCCACAGTATTCTCTGGACTAAAAAGGTGTTATAAAAGTGAAGAAATGAGAAACCTGAGATCAGACATTTGAGTGAAGCACAGCAATATAAGGTACAAAAGTCATTCTTTTCCATCTACCTATCCATCAAGTCTTGGAAAAAAAACTGAACAAAAGAAAATTGACAATCATAGTACTTTTATTTCTATTCAAGGCTTGGGCTGTTTGAGAGTGCAAGAACAAAGTGACTGGCCAGTGGGGCAGCCCAACTCTCCCATCTCATGCCTGCTTTCAAAAATTACATCCCTTCTCCTCACCATCATGGCTACTTACATAGGCCGTGTAGGTGAACTGCTCCATTTTTTGTCCCCACCAAATTAAAGCTAGTTATCACAAGAAAGACTGTGCGATGTGCTCATTTAAAATGCACAGCCATGTAGCATTTAGCCTGACAGCACTATGTGCAACATTTCACTTACTGGTAAAGAGCGTTAGCATGTTTGTGTTTTGCAGTGGGTTGATGTGGCTGGACAAACACACAGAGGTGCAGCCGCTGGCACCAGAATGAAATAAAACAATCCAGAATATTGAAACCACAGTAACAATGATTAGCACCGATCAAAGTCACCCAATGCACAAGGAACTGGTGCTTTAAATGTCTCATAAAAAGTTTTTAATTATTTCCCCGGGAGCTAATGTGCAATCTTTGCAGATGATCTCTCTCTTTTGTCTCCTGTGCTGCTCCTTGCAAATGCAAATGTTTGGTCATCCAACACTCCACAGACAGAAAATTGAAAAACAAACAAACAAAAACAAGTCCAAAACCTTTATTATACACTGATCTAACAAATGAAAAATACTGTTTTAGACAATTGAATCAAATGCCCTAGTGTTGATTTTTTTAAATGGAAAATCAAACTGCTAAGTGTACATGGGTCATATAGGTACAAGATGCTTGTGACCTAAAACATGTATTAGTCATAAACAGAGACAGATTTTCTTATTCATACTTACAGTATCTAATCTTGGTATTGATAGCTTTACTACTTTCATCCCATTCGTCATGTTTGTAGGTGATGAGCTGTCCCTTCCTACAGCAACATAAACATGCAAATTGGTTAGTTGTGAATAAGGGTAAATAAATACATGCAGAAAACAACAATCATTGATCTCAAAAGTGATGTAGAAAAAAGCTGACAAAACCACGACGTGATTTGACAGCTGTCCTCTTTAGTGACTCGCCTGTACTGGTTGTGGCTTCAGACAAGGGAGATAAGCTGGACTGCATCAAATCTAAACCCATTTTCACATCCTCCTCTGCAGGTGGTGGCAATACAGTGGGTTTCACATCAGTTTCTTCCTCAACAGAGTTACTGTCCTCTGCTGCTGAGACTGAGAAGGAGAATTACAATATACAAATGAATGGCATGTTGCAGATGACTACTTTTGAAGAAGCAAGATCCAAATATAAAAATGTCTTGACAAGGAGTTTCTTCCCTGCTGAAATTCCTCTGTGCTCCCATTACACTACAGGGCAACGAAAGTGGCGTCAATGGGTTAGAGGATCATTTAAAAAGTTACAGAAAGGCTTCTACCCCTGTGCAGCAATGAAGGTACAACTCACAAACTGGCAAAAATCAGAACCGCCAGGAAAGAAAAAGTTCCCAGAAAACCTACCACCATCTATCTATTTGTAACAATAATTTAAGGCAAGGTATAGGAATACGTTACCTGCCATACAGCTAAGTGTGCTGCATAACCAATAAGCTAACAATGTCACAAGTAGCTTTTATATTCAGCCTGGATTGAGGGTCAGACTGAAGTAATAAATCATGTACAGCAGCACATTAAGGTGATCAGAGCCTTTACCTCAACACACATTATTAACAAGTTTCTATATGCCATAAGTCAGTATATATTCAATATGTATCATGATGCATCACTGACACAAACTCTGTGATAAACTCACTGAGAAGCACAGCTTGTTCCACTTTACCTGTATTTGAAACAACAGGTGAATCACTGCTTTCTGCATCTATCAAACTGCTCCGTTCCTCCTCTTTCATATGAGCTTCCTGTTCCACCTGATCCACTGTACCAATATCCATCATCTCATCGAGGTCCTCAACTGTAGGAACCCTCAGCTTACAGCTATGAGGCTCCTGTTCTGGTTCTGTGCCGCTGTCCTTGGTGTCAATGCCAGCGTCCAACTTTTCCTCAGTGTCTATCTCCTTGTGATCAGACGCTTCCAACTTTTCCTCAGTGTCTATCTCCTTGTGATCAGACGCTTCCAACTTTTCCTCAGTGTCTATCTCCTTGTGATCAGACGCTTCCAACTTTTCCTCAGTGTCTATCTCCTTGTGATCAGACGCTTCCAACTTTTCCTCAGTGTCTATCTCCTTGTGATCAGACGCTGTCTCCATATCTGTGTCCTCACTCGCATCTGGTTCTGTGGGGCTTTCCTCTGAGCTCTTTTCCTTTACTGCAACATTGTCTGTTTTTAACTCAAACTCTTGCTCCGCTTTCACCTCGGTCGCCTCCTTTTCAGACTCTGAGGTGCTACCCGGCTCAGCACCGTGAACCAAAACTGGGCTGAATATCTCTTCTGTAGAGAAGGACGACTGTGAAGGTTCAGATGCAGGAGAGGGAACCGCGGCTGCCTCTGTTTTGGTATGTTCAGTTTCTTTACTTTCTGTTTCCTTTTCCTCAGCAACAAAGTCATCTGCTTCTCCATGTTCAGACAGCCTAGCAGGGGATCCACCAACAGGCTCTGGGTCTCCAACTTCCGCTGATTTTTCTGCCTCTGAAACAGCTTCCGTGGACTCTCCATCGGTCTCCACTGATACCTGTGTAGAGCAAACAATTAACAGAATTTTATTTTAAGACTTTCATATAGTTTGATAGTCTAGTGTTAAATGCAACTATACAAAACCAGGATGGCTGTGAAACACCACATTCCAGTATGAAAAGGAAATTTCAATATACCGTAATTTCCGGACTATTAAGCGCACCTGAATATAAGCCACACCCACTAAATTTAAAAAAAAAAAAGTACATATATAGGCCGCACTTGTCTATAAGCAGCTGGTGTCCACATTGTAACATGAGATATTTACACAGAAAGATGTCTTTTTGGATTGAGTCAGTTCTTCACGCTGCCTTCTCCAACGTCTCACCATCGATTCATTGATGCCAAGCTTACGTGCAGCAGCTCTATTTCCTTCTTCGACAGCCAGATCGATCGCCTTTAACTTGAAAGCTGCATCATATGCTTTTCTTCGTGCGTTTTCCATGATGAGGGTGTGTGCATGAAGCGCAAAATGCCTGATCTGGAAAATTTAGTGAGTGCATTTGATTTAATTCGAACAGTTTCATTGGTCCACTGTGACCCGTTCGGTAATTTCATTGGTCTGATGTGACGAGGCTAAACGTATTGGCGGCATGAAGCTCGTTAGCCGGTAAAAATGTATAAATTAGCCGCATCATTGTTTAAGCCGCAGGGTTCAAAGCGTGTGAAAAAAGTACCGGCTTATAGTCCGGAAATTAATTGTATTATTTATTTGCTCCAAATACAGAACTGCTTGTGTTTTGCCTTCCTGTTATGCAGCAGACAGAAAAGTAAGATAAAACTTTTTACATTTTCAAGACAGACACCTGTAGTTACATTTTACTTTGCAAATTCAAATTAATAATACTAAAATGATCATATAAATAAATGAAGATACGACTTTCCAACAGCTTTGGGGACATTTACAAATCAGCAGCTTATAAAGTGATTAAAATTCTACATACTTTCAGCAGCTGCAACATTAAATGATGTAATATATTAGTAATTATAATCAAATATCAATTATTCTGAAATTTTATCACTGTACATTAGTATTTTACTTCTGGCACTTTAAGTATATTTTGCCAATAATACTTTTGTACTGAAGTAACATTTTGAATTTCACAAATTTTACTCATTTTACACTGTGATATTTATGTATCCACAGCTGCTTCCTGCGGATAAAGCAGTAAAATACACTGAGTAATGAGCTGATAAAACAGTAACTGCAGCTATGACGTTACCGACGGTGAAAGAGTTATAATTAACGCGCAAGGATTTTGGTCAAAGGCCTGAGTTAAGGCTCCTCAATTTAACATGCCCACATGGAGTCGGTTGCAAAACCGAGTCCTGCATAATGTCCCAGAAGAAAACGTACAAGACTTTACAATGAAGCTAGCTTGAATGTGATCATAGCCGACATGCATGTATAACAATAGCTATAGCAAAACGCAGGGTGGAAGCGTATAAAACAACATTAGCACATGTGTGCACGCACGGCCACTTTAACCATATAAACATGACAGTACAAGTTAGCTTGTTGCTGATATAACGTTAGCAACACTGCTCGTGCAATGTAGACACAACTAACGCTAAGCTAAAATTACTGCTCTACTGGCAACAACTACAACCTAACATTTTAAAAATGGAAAGTTTAATTACCTCTCTCTGAGCTGCGTCCTCGGATTCGGCCATGTTATGTTGACTAATCAAATGATTTCTAAATAAAACAATTAGCTAGGTCACAATTCGCCCAGCTAGTGCTAGCTTGCTGATCACAAATCTGCACACATCTGTACCTGCTGTTATCTCGATAAGGTTAGCTAGCCTTTAACATGTAAATATGTTCACACACTACAAAAAGTAACCAATGTACTAATTAAGTAACTGTTCTAGTTGGAGTTATGCCATACCAACATATACCAAGGTCTTCATATAGTGATGTTACAGGGAATGTATAACATTGTAACCATAACAGAGTGCAGAAAATTACCGCGCCAGCGACTTGGACAGATGAGACTTCATTGGTGTCCAGACGTTGATGTCCATCGCCAGTTTCCGTAGTCGCCATCTTTACGCCAAAAACCTTGTTCTTTGCTTTTAACGAATAAAATGCTATTCGGTGCTTTTAGAATAGGCTCTACAACCGAAAAAAATATATTTAAATGTGCGCTCTTACTACATAATTAGCATCCATTGTACTTGTTGCAGAGCATGGGTCTTCTTCGCTTTCCTTTTAGGCAGTTATCAAACATCGGGAGCTCACTATCGCCCTCATTGATGTAAAATGGGTACTGCTTTTGCAAGCTAAGTAGCCAAAAATATAGAGACAACACCGTGAACATACTTTGGGGTAATTTTTGTCAGTTGGTCTTATTCATAATTAGAATCAGCTTAATTGCCCAGGCTGTCCCTGGTTTGTGCTCGTCATGTATTAGCATTAGAGTTATCCCTCAGTTTCTCCAATGTTTGGAAAACCAGTAATATAAAGTAACTAAGTGGCCAATGTTTACTCAAATACTGTACTTAAGTAGAATTTTAAAGGTACGGTTGAGGCTGAGTATTTTCATTTTATGATACGTTGTGCTTTTAGTGTGCTTTATACTTTTGTCAAGCTGATGTTTGATTTTTGCTTTGTTCACTCTGATCAGAATGCATGAGAGCTATTTGCACAAGGTGCAATGTTGCAAAAGTAATGGCTGCTGGTAAATTATTGTTTGTTTTTGTTTGAGAGTAGTGTACTGTCTTAAATGACAATAGTATTTGACTGTTTTTAGATAAATTATACAGAAAATAGCAGGCAACTGGCTGCCAGTAAGACACTATCAATTTCAAGATAATCCCTTTATAGTGAAATTGGAGAGGCACATGATGACTGCAAAAAAACAGCTACAAGATACCACGTGACACAAAATGATCACAAAGTGCATAGAATGACCACAACAGGTATCAAACTATAAGCAGCAAATAAAATCCAATGCTGGTAAAACAGTAAATTATGTATATATTTTACTGTCTATGACAACAGCTTGGTAGATAAAGTTGATTTTGTTTTAATTAAGCACAGTAGCACCAACTAAACAACCAACTTACAACTTACTAAGTGACTTTGGGCTGAAATCTGAATATCATGGGTGATTGAAGGTGTGACATGAATGCTGTAGTGTTAGAAAAAAGCCCAATTCTTTTGTTGGAAGCACGAAAAGTGAAGACAGGAGAGGACTGTTTAAAAACAACAGAAAGTTTACTGAAAGTCTGAGCACAGGTAGGCCTTACAGCGCTGGGATCAGAGGGACAGAGCTCC